TTGCATAATTATGCATTATCTGTGTATTAGACTATTAGTGTTGGAAAAGAATATGTTTAAAGTGGTCTCGGTACTTAATATTATATGGTTTTTCTCAATAGTTTAAAATTCTTATTTAGGTTTAAAAAACTTATTGGGAAATGACGTGACATACTTGATGATTGATAAGAGAGTGTGCTTTGTTTTGTTTCATGTTGTGCCTTTTCTGCTCAAGTTAAAATAATTCTCAAACAATAATAATGCATGTGTTTGCTCAATCTCAAAATAAAGGCATGATATTCAAATTATTTGAATTTATACGAGTCTTAACCTGTTCAAGTTAGTCATTTCATGTTTTTTGTTTAGAATAGTTTTTAAATCTAGCTGTAGTTTTTTATTTGATACTATATTCTTTTATTGATATGTGCAGCTCATGTTTTGAATAGATTTTTTAAGTTCATAGAAAATTTAATTATGGATTGGTTTGTGTGCTATTATTTCTAGCGTTATTGTTTATATAATAATTTTATTTTTCATTTGCTTATGGTATGATTATACATGTTCTTTAATTTTTTCTTCTTTTAGGTTTGATCAGTGGTTGAAGTAAAATTAATAACATTTATTTATCCAGGTGTGTACTTGCGCTTTTTTTCGATTCATTTGGTTAATTTGTTGATTTTGTGGGAGATCTCATTAGTTGCTTTTTTTTTGTGTGTGTTTTATTTCTACATAGGATCAAACATGTTGGCATTTCTGTTGTTCTGGTATGTACTCTCTCAATCTTTTGATTCATTTATTTATTTTGTTTCTATTATGCTTGGGATCATATTACTCGTACTATCATTTGCTTTTTTATTATCATATTACTTGTTTCTTATTCTTGCTTACCGTGTATGAACTTTCAGTCATATTGAAAGAGCATACTTTCAACTCTTCTATATTTTTGTACAAGAAAACGAATTTTAAAGAGCATACTTAATTATGCATTGTAATGTTGTTATTGGTACTTGTTTTTAGTGTGTATTTGTGGGCATTGGTTTCTCTGCCTTTTAGATCTAGGTTTTCCCTAGTTTCGTGCTGATAGTTGCTGCATTTGTGGTGATTGTAAAGCTGTAGTCTGTTGGCTACCGGATTATGTTGCTTGAGTTTTATTAATTCAGTTGTTTGCCTTTGGGAAAAAAAAATATATCCATTAAGTGTTTTGAGTTAGTGTATGCTTGCTATACTTTTACACACTTTTAAGTGTTTTTACATATACTAGAAAACCAGAAAATGCACAACCTCACAAAACATTAGTGTAAGACCATTGTGGGCCTGTTCCCTCTAGTCTATCTATAAATAATAAAAAGCTTACTGTAGCTTTTTATATTATTTTTTATTCCTTGACTTGCCTTTCTTTTTGACACGTAACAATTTTAGAAGTGTTTTACCCTAATTTGGCCCTCATTCTCCCCTTCTAATATTTTGTAATTACATATATATTTCCATGTGAAAGTGGCAAAGAGTCATGTCTTGTTTATATTTTATTTATCCCGAAGCTTCCATCGTCCCCTCTTACATTCTCACCTAACCAGTTTGGCTGTCTCTGCACATCCACCCTCATGCCTGGCATAGTTGATAAAATGTTGCAGTCGAGGTATGATGTATATTTGTTGTTATATTAATTTGTGTAATTTCTGTTGATTTGCTTTATGTATCAAACTGTCGAAAATAAAGTGAGTTTGGGTATGGAAACTGCTCAGATCTATAAGTTTGATAGATGAATTACTATCAGTAATTTTTGTTCACATAATAATTTTGTTGCTTAACAAAGGATTCAGAAATTGCATCATAACCTGCAATATGCCGATGTTGGACTCAATAAATTTAGGTTTTATGGGATATCCTTAATTTGATTGTTGTTCTTCTTGAGTGATTAATTTGAAGATGCTTCTACAAAAACTTCGGATTACAGCCTTGCTGAGTCGTATATGTGAGCTGATAGACTCTGCTCTTGATTATATTATATTATAATTAAATTATTTTTTATTTTCAAATTATGCTTATCGATAATCTCTCTGTTCATTTTTTTTTTTTTTCCTTCACCAAATATGCTAACTATGTGGTCTCATTCTTTCTTGGATCATTTTATTTTCAAATAAAAGATTGACATTGAAGTTTCGATATGGCGAAGGCACTATCACATGGAAAATGTTCGACGTCGTTTTTCAAAGACTTAATTATGTGTTCTTTGATTGGGTGAATCTTTATTTAATCATCTCTAGATATCGATATATCGTTGTTCATTGTTTGCAATGTTTATGACTTCTCCTCCTGATTACTATATTTTTTTTTTCTTTGAGCAGGTTCGACATTTTTATATGCAGGAAGCAATACAAAGTAGTTGTTGAGTCTATGCATAGTACAGGTATTCCTATGCTTATAGATTTTGTGTACTTAGTCTTCATATTCCATGTTTTTTTTTTTTTTTTGTGTGTTTTGATTAAATTATCAAATAAATTCTTCAAGACTTGTTTTAAATTATTTATCCTGTATTTGTTAAAATGTTTGCCTGTCTACTTCCTTTTGATTCTTGCAAACTCTCCAATGTCCAACTTTGGCTTTGGGATGACACTATTTTCTCTATCACATAGCTTTAGTTGTATACATATGTTTGTAAAACAATGTAGCTTGACGCAATCTCTCAACCCAAGATTACAGGCAAACTCAACCTAGTATTTTAATGAGTTGAAAGTTGCTTGTGTGCTTGTTACTTTGTAAAATTACATGTGGTATTGAGGTTTTTTTGGACATAATGCATGAGAAGGAAAATTTTGAATGTTTGAGATGTGCTAGATTAAATGTCACTTGCAAAATGAGAGAATTATCCCTTTCTGGATTGAGGGATATTAGTGTTTTGGATAATGAAAAAAAATTGAAGGAATCCTGAATTAATAAAAAAATTTGAAGGAATCTTGAATTGCTAAAATGGACTGATATATTGGGTAGAAAAAATATATATTCTTTTGGTTGGTGGAGTATATTTGTTTCTATGTGAACTACGGTCCCACTTAATTGTTTACAGAATTAAGTGTCTAGTCATTTTTCTTTCTGAATATTGGTAATTATCAAGAGTGAAATAAAATATGTCGTGGGTAATTTTAAGTGACCTAGCCTATGAAGCAAAGATGAATTGCACATGATATACTATTTTTGTTTTTTGTAAAAATGGTGGGAATTTCTAACTGAGAATTAGATCTTTGTTTGCCATCGTGTGTGCTAGTAGAAGTAGATATAAAAACTGAATATAAACTAACTAAATATTTTTGTTTTTTGGGTTCTCCTATTAACAAACCCTAAGACGACGCTTGGATATAAATCTAACTC